CTCCTCCGTGTTTATGCGGTTTAGCCTTATGTATTCTTTAAGCACCGGTAATGCATACTCGGTATTGAGTTCCAGCCAATATCTTTGGGGATGTCCTCTGTGTGAAGACTTCGTGAATTTGATCCTATCTTTACAACCCGGAGAGTATACTACATGGTGCACCGGATTGTTGGGCGGTGTAGCCAAGCTGTTTGCCAATTGCTTTAACTGGGCAGAGGTCAAAATTTGGATGGTAGCGTGGGGCGGCCCGCTAGTGTCCATACCCTTCGATTCGAGATGTGAGAATAATATGAGTCCTTGACTCCTAGTGCTCTCCGAAGATATTTATGGTACCATGCATCTATGGTCTTTAGGTGCTTAATTTCCAGAGTAAGCGTATCCAATCCGTACAATAATGTAGGCAAGACTATGGCATGGAAGATTCTAGTTTTAGTTCTAGAATTGATGCGTGACCTCCAGAAATGTTGGAGTTTGATGTAGGAAATGTGCGCCTTGGCTTTACGAGCTTCTATGGCATGCTTAGTGGCCTTGTCCCATGTAACCTGAGAGCCTAAATATTTAGTGTCAGTGGTTATGGGAACCGGGGAGCCATCGGCAAAGTATAGGACCTGGGGGGCGTCGGCGTTGTACTCCAGAGAGACTGTTTTTTCTTTGTTCAGAAGCATCCCGTATAGGGTGGCTTCTACCTCAATTGCATTAAGTATGTCGTTCATTTGTGGCTTTGTAACCGAAATGAGAAGCGTGTCATCAGCGTATTCTAGATCGTATACTGGTTTGCCTACCGACCAGGAGTTAGTGGGGGTGCCATGTATACGGAGCCTGCGGTCTACATCAGAGAAAAGCACTGTCATAACCATGATAAATAAATACGGGCTTAGGGGGCAACCTTGCCGAATACCGGTGTGCGGTGTAGCCTTGGCGGTGTCCCCGAAGGGTCCTCGCGTATAGAATGTCTGGTTGGTGTAAAGATCTCTAATAATGTCGACATATTGGCGGTGTACTCCAAGGCGCTCCAGTGCTATGATCATAGAATCATGATCAACTTTGTCGAACGCCATTCTCCAATCTAGGAATAGCAGCTGAAAGGGAGAGCCTGTTTTCAGCGCTAGGTCTTGCAATCTGCGTAGGACGAACAGTGGTTGTTGCGTGGATCTATTAGCCCTAAAACCAAATTGCGTGCTCCGAAGCTGATGATCGTGCGCTTTAGCCAATCTTTTTTGAAGTAATGCCGCGTAGATCTTATAGAAAGTATTTAGCAAGGAAATTGGCCTATAATTAGCAGGGTCAGAATCCGAACCTTTACCTTTATAAATACTAACTATAAGAGCCTCTTTCCACTCTTGGGGAACTGTTGCGCTACTGAAACATTCGTTGAACATTTCCAATAGCTGTTGTTCCCCGATGTAGTCCAGAAGTAGCACCAGCTCATTGTGAATGTTATCTGGACCAGGCGCTTTAGCCTTACGTAATTGCTTGATAACGTCGGAAAGTTCTATCAGGGTGAAGGGTGGGGGCGGTGTAGCCGAGGGCGCGTATAAAGAGGGTGACTCCCGTAATAGTTCTCTTTCTTCTGCCGTGACCGTGGTGGGACCCCATTGAACATTGGCGAGGTGGCCTGCAAACGCCTCGTGCTGTTTATCCCATGGTACCGGCCGACCTTCCTTTTTTAGCCTGGATTTTCGTTCTCTAAATCCCGTTTTCATTTTACGGAGTGATTATGGGATTGCAGGACCTGATCCCTGAGCCATTGGCGTTTTACTTTGCGGGCTTGCGTTTTGAGCCTTTTGTATTCCTGAGTGGCCTGAGGGTCTCCATGTAATCTGCGCTGTTTTACTGCTTCGATGTCCGCTGCGAGTGTTGGAGTAATCCAGCACGTCCTGGGTTTGACCGGCAGTTTAGCGAATGTGTTCTCTGCCGCCGTCAATAGGGCCTGTGAGATGCGGTCCGGCGCGTTTTTGATGACGGGGAGGGGGGCTTGTGCGTCCGCCAAAGGGGAGGTTAGTAGGGGTGAGGTAGAAGTGTTGTTCAGAACGGCCACCTATCCGTACACCATCTCGTTTTGCTTGTCCTGCAAGTGCATCCGCCATGTCATTATATTCTTGTCCTGAGTGGCCTTTAACCCAGGTCCATTTGATTGTTGTTCTGGCCTTTAGTAGGGAATAAATACGCTTGGCGGAGTAGACCATGGCTTTGTGCCTAGTCGGGCGAAATGCTCCTGTAACCATGCCTTCCACCCACTTACTGTCGAAGCAGAATGTAACTGTGGGAGGGATAGGGTCCATTGACAGTAAATACAACGCTGCTTCCATCCATGCGGACAATTCTCCGGTATTGTTACTACCTACCACCGCTCCTAGTGAAAAAGGCGAAGTACCCGTAATTACCGGTCCCCTGGCTTTGTGCGTGGGGACTCCATTTATTACCGTAACGAAACCCCAACCGGCTGGCGTTGTACTGGTGCATTTACCTCTCGAGCCTGAACCATCGGTATAAACTTCTACTGGAGGCGAAGGTTTTGGCGGTGTAGCCTCGGTATCCTCTAGATATAGTGCGTTCCTAAATTCTTTGTTGAACTTCTCGCGCTGTTGTCTGGTGGCGTTGTACTCCAGGGGGGGGGGTCTGGGTTGCCTCTGCCTACGTGCCCCTAGCCGGACGCTGAGCTCTGTAAGAAGTAGGTAATGATCGCTTGGAAAACCTGTATTGTGTACAGCTTTTACTGTTCGGATCGTGGGGAGCCATTTCCTAGGGGTAATCAGTCTGTCCAAGCTTTGAAAGCGAACAGGGTCTATGTGCGGTGTAGCCAGTTTATTGGGAGGGAGGGTATCTAAACCCAGGAACGCTCGAATCTCCGAAACCAGCGAAAGCTGATCCGACTCTGGCAAGGGGAGCGTGGCAAAACGATCCCACATTTGTAGAAGAATTAGGGGGTCGAGAATGAACTGGTCCCAGTTGTCCGGAGGTGAGAATTTATCCCTGTAGGTGACATGTTTGGTCAGGTTGGACTGTTTAAAGGATAAAGCGTCTGCAAATCCGAGGGATTTTAACAAAGAAGTGTAGAATGTGCGGTTGGAGTGCGTTTTAGTGTTGGCAGCGAGTTTGCCCTTACCGTAGATATGAGGCCCCAAAAAATCCTGCTCAGCAGAAAACCTACCTTGTAACCTGACGTTGTAGTCTCCTACCACGTAGACCGGCTCAGGTTGTGGAATTGTTGTTAGGATGTCTTCCAGCATGTTCCAGAATGGGGTCTTACGCTCCTCTTCCTGCGATTTGTCGTGTGGGGCATATACCCCAATAATATGAATGGAGCCTGATTTGGATGAGATGATAATCTGTAAGATACGAGAAGTGTGTTGAATGATGTTGCTAACATGAGGAACCATTTTTGGCGATATAACCGCTGTGACCCCTGACCATTTATCCTTGTTGTTACCATTAACCACAAAAAGGTAGCCCTGACTTTGAAATGAGTAGTATGACTTAGAGTGGGTTTCCGTTAACGTCAAAACGTCGAGGTGCTGTGTATGCATGAGAGCGAGGACCTCTTGATGCTTAAAAAGTTCAGCCATTCCCTGAACATTTTGTGTGCCTATTCGAAGAGAAGAACCATAAGCTACGGGCGGTGTAGCCATTAGCTTTGTGGTCTTTCCCTTCCTAACTCCAATTGCCGATTGTCGAAGAACGAGCCTACGAAAATTTCCGGCATTGGTTGTCTTCCTGTCTTTCCCATGATCTGCTTTCAAGGGAACCCTTCCCTTTACCAGGTTGTTTCCCGTGTTCCCTGGCAATATGTTAGCCCTAAAGGACCCCCGCCACTGACGATAATATCGTCTACGTAGACAGCGAGCCCCGGGTCCCCGACCTAAAAGAGCTTTGGCGGGAAGGGGTGGGGACAAACACTCTTCGTTAACCACCGGAGTGGCACCCGGCAAGCCTCGTTGAGGCGGTGTAGGCTTACTAGCAAGAATGAAAGTATTCTTTAAATTCATTGAATTCCCAGTGCCCTTGGAAACTTTCTGCCCGACCCCTTCAGGGACTTCAGGGTAAGGCTGGGTGGGTGTAGGGTGGAGGGTAGGGGAACCAAGCGGGTGACAGCCCGTCTTGTTTTGAACAAAACGGCGTTTTGGCTTGGTAACCTTTTTGGAGAAGGAAATCTTGAGTCCCTCTTGATTTCTGAAACATGTTCTTCGCCCTGTTCGTGGCGGTGTAGCTCGGGGGTTTAGGGTGGGGAGCTCCTCTGGGATAGGGGATTTGGGCTGCCGATGTGCTAAGAGAAACGCTCTTGAAAGTTTCAGCCCAGGCAGGGGAGTGGGGTTGGGAGGTATGAGATCATTGAGGGAGATCTCTACTCTAGTTGCGGTGTTACCATTGAGGGTATGCATCAGACGGTTAAGTGTTCTTTGGAGTACGCCTAGATAGTCAATGGTATACCCCAACCTAAGAAATCCCTGACCCGGCGGTGTAGCCTGTGCTGTGTTCTCTGTTCTTTTTGTTCTGCAAGATCTTGCGGAGCGGCAGATCATTGTTGCGGAACGTGCCATGGTGGAAAAGGCTCCGAAAACGGCCAGGGCATCCAGGACTACAATTAAGGGGTTATGGCGGTGTGGACAGGTATAGTAGAAAACTGTAAATGCTGCTATTAGATGCCAAAGGAGTGCCCTAGATAGGTGGGGACAGGCGGGTTGTTTGTGACGCTTCTTACCCCTAAACTGTGATCTACGAAGAGGACTCCTATCCCAACCAATGCATCTACTGGTGAGGTGGGGTTCCTGGAATCTGCTGGGCGTTTTACCCAGGAAGGAAAAGGCGCTACCTCCCTGTCTTTTAAAGGCAGCCGTGCTCAACCCGTACCCGCGGCGCAGTCTGTGTTGAGAAAATTCAAAGGTGGGCAGACGCAGCCTTAAATGTGGGATTAGGGCGGTGTAGTCCGGGGAGCACTGGACTGCAAAATTGAAACATGCAAAAGGCGCTGAGGCCATACCCGCAATGCTGTAACGACCCCGTCACTTGCCTCTACCCTTGCCGGGGCCTGGCTCAGAGGGAGCGGGTCCTTGCGGAAGATTGGCTCCCGCCGCTGGCGGTGTAACCACGGGAGCCCCCTCAAAAGTTCTGGCCTGGTAGTTCCCCACCTTATGCTGTGGGGCAGCTACCTTATCGCAATATTCATCCCAACAATAGCTGACAGCATCAACTTTGCTGATGGTCATGGGGATCGGGAAGGGATTCATGGCCGAATTATAGATAAACGGCGCGCTCCAGTGGCGCTGCGATTTACCCAGGGAAATACCCTTCGAGGAACCTTTGGCTCCGAGGGCTGCCTGGGTGAAAACTTGCTTCTCGGCGACGTCCAACTCGTGCTGAACTCCAAAGGTCAGCTGGTTCCAGCAGTGGGCCCAAAGGTTTTCCTCGTCCCCATGCGGCGGTTTAGCTGACATGAGGTCGAACAACTCCGCGTCCACTTCGAGGAGGCCACGTAGCTCACCACTCTGCTCGTAGTACGTCATCCGGGCGCAAGCGCGGGCTTGGGGGTTGAACTCCTTCGTGGCGGCGGGCTTCATGACTGTCAGCGTGCGCCAAAGGATGACGATGGGCTCCGGCGTTGTACCCTGCACCTCCGAGGAGCGGTTTATCACAGTGAGTGCCACCCGCAATGGGAGCTCAAGCTTGCGCTGGAACTGCGGTGAGGCTGCGGTAACCCGGATGTGGTGCTGCTTGACGGGCGTTTTAGCGTCCTTGTACAGAGGGCATCCGGCTCCACCACCGTAGGCGTCAACGAAGGCCTTGCGACACGAGAAGTCCTTGAACTGCAGCATTGTCACCGTAGACCACGCGGCCTGCTGGCGGTGTAGACGGCTCCACTGCGAGGGCAGAAAGACACCAAAGTCTGCAGGAGTCGGAGGCGTTGTAGACGCGCTGGTGGATGAACTGCTTGATGTGCTCCAGCTGCTCCAGCATCCAGTTAATCTGAAAGAGCCTGTCCGCGGGTGCGAGCGTTTTATCCCAGCCAGACGTGACCACTAGCATGGCGCTCTCCTTCTTTTGCTGCTGCCTATTGTCTGAGGCTAGCCACTGCAGGGACTCTTGGGTCTTGAGGATCTTGTCGTCGAGCTTGCCGATGACGTTCTCGACCTGCGTGATGAGGTTGAAGATTTCGGGTCGCAGGACCCCGAGGTGGTAATCGCGAATGGTCTGGAGAACCTCATTCCTTGTTGGGAGCGGTGTAGCCATGTAGGCTTGCATAGCCCCCACATCGTTAATGTCCACGCCCCTTTGCGCAGCCGTCATCTGGTAGGCGATGTCCGTCTCAATGGGCATGGGCTGGAAGAGGGATGAAGGGGTCCGCCTCTCTGTCGGGGGGTCGCGTACCCCTTCTTCCACAATGGCGTCCCTCTCCGCGGTCTCCATGACATGGTCCGAGGGCGGTGTAGCATGGGACTGGACCGTAGACGCCAGGGTGGACGGGGGCCCTCTCTTAGCAGCGCGTCTTGAGTCGAACCACATGTCCTGGCCGGCGTTGTAGACGTCGTGCTGTGTGGCCTGCCTCTGTGCCTCGAGGTGGCGGTAGGCCTGGCTGAGCTCTGCCCCCAGTCCGGAGTCGCGTCCGCTCATGGCTGCGGACGGTTCGAAAAAGCCCTGCAAAATGCCGGGCGTTGTAGCCAACGAGACTACAAGGAAAAAGAAAGCAAAACTCAAGTAGGTGACACCATGCAACATCGTACACAGCGGTAAAGCCTTCAAGCCCCCCACTAACATGCACATGCTCTCGCTGGCAGCCAAATGCCTGTGTTTCGGGTTTAGGGTCTAGCGTTTCGTTCTGCGGTTCAGGGCTGGAGGGCTTGTCGACCCCTAGGCCCAAAGAGCGAAAGCCACCAATGCCCGCGCTGGAGAGTGTCCGGTGCGAATTGCCAAGCGCGTAATATAGGGGTCGGCATAATAGCTAATAATGTTCTCTGAGTGTCGCGGTATAAATATATCAAACAATGCCCCAAAACCCGATTAACAATTACTAAGGCCCTACATTAGGGTTCTGCACGTAGCTTGAATGGTTGGGGCTGAATTCACGTGCTGAATTCCCTGCAGCACCCAAGAAAAAGGTTCTATAGGGCTTATGATTTTACTACAACCATGTGGGGCATGCAGCAACTAGAAAGAGTTGGAAGCAGTCAAGGAGCTTCCTAACATCCTCATCATCATAGACTCTGAACCCTTATACCCCCAAACCCTAAACCCTAAACCCTAAACCCTAAACCCTAAACCCTAAACCCTAAACCCTAAACCCTAAACCCTAAACCCTAAACCCCAAACCCTGAACCCTAATCCCCATTTTAGGGTTTAGGGCTTCAGCCAAGGCAGATGCTCCCGCAGTCCCTAGGCATGGTCGCGAATGCCTACGCGCGAGTCTCCTTTCTGGAGACATGGGGATCATCCATCGCCTACTGAAGCCCTAATCCCTAAACTAGGGTTTAGGGTTCAGGGTTCAGGGTTTAGGGTTCAGGGTTTAGGGTTGAGGGTTGAGGGTTTAGGGTTACTATCTGCTTCAGAACCCCCACCCCAAAGCAAAGATAACAATCCCTATATTACCTTTATCACGAAGAATCTGGCCTATTTTTGATGGGGGTTCCTAGGCAAGCAGTACGGGCCGAGGGGTTAGTTTAGGGTTTGGGGTTTGGGGTTTGGGGTTTGGGGTTTAGGGTTTGGAGCCTGGGGTTTAGGGCTAGGGAACGTTTGTTACTTTTCTCCCTAAACGCTAAGCCCTATTGAGCAAACTCCAGGATGTAGGTCCGAGCGGAGGTCTCCGGTTACGTTTAGGGTATAGGGTTTAGTTTAGGGTTTAGGGTTTAGGGTTTAGGGTTTAGGGTTTAGGGTTTGGGGTTCGGGGTTTAGGGTTTAGGGATTCGAAGCCTTCAATCCGAAACCCCCAAGAATCTGAAGGACGACTTCACTCCCCCTTTCATCTGGTTAAGCCTTAAACCCTAAACCCTAACGTTGAAACAAAAACCGAAGCCCCAAACCCTAAACCCTAAAAGGGTTCAGGGGTCAGGGTTGAGGGTTTCGGGTTATTTTGGGGTTCCTGAAGCCTTAGACACCACACGAGGCCCAATTGGCATTGCCGGCCGAAGCCTCCGGACACCCCTTTTTGTTCCTCTCGCTTGATTCTGAAAACCGCGAACACGATTCCAGAAGTTCATGGGTTCCCCTCCTCCCCCCCTCTAAACTTCCCCCCCCTAGGTCCCCCCCAATAGTTAAGGCTACTTAGGGATAGCTAAGCCTAATTAAGGTTGTTTATGGGGGAACCTTGGGGGAGGGGGGGGAGGTAGAGGGGCGAACTTTAATCAACAACGCGAAAACAAAACCTACACTCCTAGAACCCCTAAGCCTAAACGAACCCGAAACCCTGAACCCTACAAGCCCTGAACCCTGCCAGCCACCCTGCAAGCCCTGAACCCTCAACCCGAGGCCCCAAGCACTGAACCCTAAAGCTGTACAAGCCCTGTGGAGGACGACCGCCTGCTAGCAGTGTTGGCTGGCCAGGCCACGCGGGGGCTGGCCAAGGAGGCCCCGGGCGGTTTGGGGTTTGGGACGTCTAGCCCTAAACCCGAAACCCTAAACCCTATACCCTAAACCCTGAACCCTGAACCTGAAGACCCCAAACCCGGACCCTAAGACCCAATATAAACTTCTAGTTCAGCGGCTTACCCGGTTAGGGCTTTGGGACTCCTGGTTCAGAGGCTGACCCTGAACCCTGAGACCCTCAAACCCTGAGACCCTAAACCTGAAAAGAACACCAAAACCTAGACTCCAGCCGAAGCCCTGAACTCCATAGCCCTAAGCCCCAAAAGAAACCCTGAACCCTAAACCCGATACACCCACAGAAGCCTACGAAGCCTACAAACCCCACAAACCCTGTAAATCCTATAAACCCTGTAAACCCTATAAACCCCACAAACCCTACATAACCCTACCTAACCCTTCAAGGGTTTAGGGTTTAGGGTCTGGGGCCCTAAGATTCTACCCAAGACTTCTGCTTGCGCAGGGTGAGCTGTGGGATCACATCGCCGTCACCCAGCTGCTGAATGGCCACGCGAAGGCATCACTGGACCCCAAGAAGGCGTAAGCTGTGTCCTTATAGGGTTCAGGGTTTTGAAGTTCAAGCCCTCAGCCCTGAAATCCGAACTAAACCCTGAAACCCTGAAACCCCAAAACCCTAGCCCTCAACCCTAAACCCTAAACCGTATACCGTAAACCGCAACCGTAAACCGTAAACCGTAAAACCCTAAACCCTAAACCCTAAACCCTAAACCCTAAACCCTAAACCCTAAACCCTAAACCCTAAACCCTAAACCCTAAACCCTAAACCCTAAACCCTAAAACCCTAAACCCTAAACCCTAAACCTAAACCCTAAACCTAAACCTAACCCTAAACCCTACCCTAAACCCTAAACCCTAAACCCTAAACCCTAAACCCTAAACCCTAAACCCTAAACCCTAAACCCTAAACCCTAAACCCCCAACAAAACAGGTGAGATCCTTCCACGCCGACTTCTTCAGGGAAGCCTTGGGCTGGCCAGCCACCCAGCTCAGGGAATTTCTGGCCTGGGGTTTAGGGTTTAGGGTTTAGGGTTTAGGGTTTTGGGTTTTGGGTTTGGGGTTTTGGATTCGGGTTTAGGGCTAGGGTTTAGGGTTTAGGGCGTAGGGCTCTAACAAGGAGTATGACTAAAGGAGATGTGAACTTGGCTGTACACTATACACTCTTGACTAGGTGATATTTCACAAGGGTTTAGGGTTTAGGCTTTAGGGTTTAGGGTTTAGCGTTTTGGGTTTAGGATTTAGGGTTTAGGTCTAGGGTTTAGGGTTTAGGGCTTAGGGCTTCGGGCTTAGGGCTTAGGGCTTTAGGACTTAGGCCTTCGGCCTTACGCCCTGGGGCTCGTTGTTTGGTGTTTTGTTGGGGTGGGTTGTAGGGCGTGCAGCCCAAGGGCATGTTTTGCGTAACCGGGTTTAGGGTTTAGGGTTTAGGGTTTGAAGTTTTAAGGTTCCCAAACCCGAAACCCTAACGGGGTTCATACGGCTTGCTTCGAGTCAAGAAGCCCTGCGACAGGCTGAGTCCCTTCAGAGCGCAGTTGTCTGAACCAGACACTCGGTTATTGCTCAGGATCTTGAACCACGTTGCCATATAATAGCGTTTAGGGTTAGGGACTTAGGGGTTAGGCGTACGTAGTGTGACAGCCCGATGGTGACGGTAGCTTAATCTCAGTTCCTCAAGAGGCCCCCCAGCCCCAGGGAACCCTAAACCCTAAACCCTAAACCCTAAACCCTAAACCCTAAACCCTAAACCCTAAACCCTAAACCCTAAACCCTAAACCCTAAACCCTAAACCCTGAACCCTAAACCCTAAACCCTAAACCCTCAAGCTGCTCTTTGTTGGGAGGCTCTCCCTGCCTGCGCATTTGGAGTCCTGCTCGCCCCAGTCGTTGGCCATCGCCATGCGCCTTGCCTGGTTTATGGCTCGGGGTCTAGGGTGGGTTTAGGGTTTAGGGTTTAGGGTTTAGGGTTTAGGGTTTAGGGTTTAGGGTTGAGGTTTAGGGTTTAGGGTTTAGGGTTTAGGGTTTAGGGTTTAGGGTTTAGGGTTTAGGGTTTAGGGTTTAGGGTTTAGGATGTTCCCCCCTTATACTAACAGTCTTTAATAGGGATCATAATTCCCCCCCCCCCCCCTGTTATCATCCCTACTCAGGACTGCTAGGGCACATCCCAAGTTTGGGATTTAGGGTGGGTTTGGGGGGTAGTTCTCCTTTAGGGTTTAGGGTTTAGGGTTTAGGGTTTAGGGTTTAGGGTTTAGGGATCCCCACGCTCAAACACCGGACAGGCGCCCACCACCGCAGGCGAACTCCAGCAACTTGTAGGTGGGCCATGTTAGCAGCCTGCACACTTTCGCAAGACCCTGAACCCTCAACTTGGGACATCCTTGACAGGGATTAATACTTGGGGGTACTACCTATTGAGGACTGTTAGTATAAGGGGGCCCAACCCTAAATCGTAACTCTAAACCCCAAACGCTTTTCTTAGCCCAAATGCCTGAATGCTTCATCATACATCCAAACACCTCACCACTCCGCCAATCTTTGCCCGACGAGGAACGCCTACAGCAAGTTTCTCCCAGAAGCCTGGCAAGTGTTCAAAGTTAGACTTGGCGAGTTTTTGGACAGGTCAGCTTTTTGTATAGGGTTTTGGGTGTTGGGTGTTGGGTTTAGGGCTTAAGTTAATAGGGTTTAGCGTTTCCGGCGTGCGGGGTACTGGGCGTTTGCGGTCCAAGTTCCTCTCGAGATCTTGCAGGTATCCCCCAAACCCCTAAGCCCTAAGCCCTAAACTCTAAACCCTAAAACAAAACCCGAAGCCGCAATTTGACGGTTTGGGGGCGCGTTAGGGCTTAGGACTTGAAGCCAAGCCCCATGCATCGTTGTCAAGTCGTCGCGTGCAGGTTAGCTGAACTCATCGACCTTTTGACGTAGGGTTTAGGGCTTAGGTGTTCTCTTTCAGTTGAGGGTACCAAATGGGCCCCATGACCTAGACCACCCCAAACCCCCTGATCGCCCTAAACTCCCTAAACACCCCTA